TGTCCTGTCCTGTCCTGTCCTGTCCTGTCCTGTCCTGTCCTGTCCTGTCCTGTCTGTCCCCTCTGTCCTTGTCTGTCCTTGTCTGTCCTTGTCTGTCCTTGTCTGTCCTGTCTGTCCTGTCCATCCTGTTCTGTCCTGGTCTGTCCTGTTCTTTGCGCAGGCGCTCTCGCGAAAAGCAAATTGCCTTCACCAACTGACCAAGCTTTGTCTCTTTCCACGAGCCAATCCCGGGCCAGGGGGGTCCTTTGGTGTTGGCTGAGGCAAGGTTGAGGCTTCTAGAACTTGTGCCCTGGAACAGGAGGATTTGTGAAAATGATCCACCTCCTAAGCCAAACTTTGGTGCATGCTTGCTTGCACGACTCCGATTGAAACCGCTTCTGAAGCAGCTATGTGGCATGGTGAGTTGCACCTCTCCATCTTGAAGGACTTCCCGGCGATTGTCACCAATCTCCACCGCCAAATGTCGCAAAGCACCGCTCCCCCACTGTTGTAGTTCTTGGCATTGGGGAAAGGAATCAAGCGCCTGGGCAGCGCTGTCACTCCTGGTCTGTTGTAAAAGATCGGGCTGAAACTGGTTGTGATCAAGGTCCAAGTTGCGAAAAGAATTCTGGCAATGCCACCAGCTTGAGCTATTCCGACAGAGTTGTTGTCCTAGAAAAATGACGCAAGGAGAATCATATCTACTGGCTGACTGAACAGTGCGGATCTGAGCGCAAACGTTGTGTTGTCACAATTTGGGGGTCAGCCTAAAGCAACCATATATATATATATGAGAGAGAGAGAGAGAAGGAGATGCAAGCGCTAGCCATTAGGAGTCAATGGGCAGCAAAATGGAAAGAGACAAAATGCAGTTGCAGTCAAAGGATGTGATTTGCTGCTACAGCGTCTGTGGCCTCACGTTGTGTTGCTTTGGGGCTATGCGCTCTTCTCCCATGCGCATGATCAGGTTCCTTCGTCTATGGCCTTGATCCTAGCGGAGAACTATGCAGCGGTCCTGCCACAGGACAATGCCCATCGCCAAAGCCTCACATAACACTACCTGTGATGCAACTATCTTGCTGTTCCAGACGCCCCTTGCCGGCACAGCATGACAGCATGGAATGCCCAGACCTGGGCTGTTGTTTCTGATGTCAGGGCTGGAGTCGGAGGCATCCCTGACTGGTGTCCCCTCACTGCCAACCTTGTCTGGTTCGTCCATGGGCGGCCTACGAGCAAGAGAAATGGATGGACGAGTCCAAGTACGTGGACCAGATCGAGGACTCCCTCCTGCCGGCGAAGCCAAACATAGACCAGGTGGAGGAGTACCGCTGGCACAACGGCAAACCAGGGGGGAGGCAAGCAAAAAGGTCGAAGAAAATTCAGTAGGGATCTGATCTGATCCCCCTCCGTGGGAGGATGAGCCAGCTGATCTCATTGACTTTCAGACACGAGTCTCAATTGCAGGCGCTGGCAAGTTCAAACCAATTCCTGTACTTTTTACAGTATACTTTTTGATCCCCGTTGGTTGGACGGGTGACCCTGGCACCCTAGACTTTATAAGATATCTCCAGTAAAATCAACACCTGGGGAGTTATAAAATGGGTGGTCCTAGGTTCATCAAGATACGCTGATTCTTTATATAATCCTGTGGCTGAAGCATGCTTGTGGCAGCGTGAAAGGCAAAGAATTCCCCGGGGGGTCCCCGACAATGGCAGCACTCTATACTTATAAATTCCCGGCGCTGACGTCACCCAAGTGCAAAAATATCAAAGATATATCCAAGCGAAACGTTATAGTATCCTGGTTCTGGGCAAACAGCGGTAGGCTGGGCTGGAAACAGCGGTGGCGGGTACAACTATGCCATGCCAAGCCCTCCTACTCTGCAGACAGGACAACACACCACCCTGTGATAACAAATGCATACTGGCTACTAGGAGGAAGGCATTGGGCACTTGACTACTTGGTGGCATGCCTGGGATCAAGAGGTCCTGCCTTGCACCTTGTGCCATGGCATTGTTTCAGAGTGTGCACGCATCCGCCCACCGGTAGCTTTTGATTTCCTTAATCGGTACGGTGTTTCACCAGGGTGAACTTGTTCCGCCCGTTTTTTGGTGCTCCCAGTAGCCTCCTTGCTCCTAGTAGTAAGGCCAGGAGCCCCTAGTAGCGTCCTTG